GGGAAACACTGAGGAAGCATGTAGGAAACATTAAGGAAACACTGACGAAACATTAAGGACACACTGAGGAAAAGTTAAGGACACATTGAGATACTGGGGAAATACTGAGGAAGCATGTAGGAAACATTAAGGAAACACTGACGAAACATTAAGGACACACTGAGGAAAAGTTAAGGACACATTGAGATACTGGGGAAACACTGAGGACGCATGTAGGAAACATTAAGGAAACACTGAGGAAACATTAAGGAAACATTGGGGAAACACTGAGGAAAGACCAATGAAGCCCTCGGGAAACAGTGGAGAATTAGCGAACGAGCAGTGGAAGAAGTATTGGGGGTTGTGTGATCTTATTTCAGCTCATAAATCACAGAGGAAAACACTCGGGGAAACACTGGACACAAATGACTCCTCAATTCAATCAGCTCTCTAGGAGAGCTGGTCCATGATGAGACATTTCAGATTCTTGCTCATAACATGTAAAGTATTCCCAGGCGATTGCTCTGACTCATCTGGCATGTCTGCAGGGCAGATGGTGGGTAAAGCGCTACAGTAACTGTGGTCTGAACAAGAGAAGCAACAGAAAACCACAACATAAACCTCTTTTCAATTGGAGACAAACTCCACTATACGTCAGTCTTTTCAGAGAGATGGGGAGATGGTTATGGTTCAGTATATTTGCCTGTGTTACCGTAGCAATGAAGCGAACCGCCAGGTCCGATCGGTGAGCCCCAGCTGGACCGGAGCAGCTAGTCCCTCAGTGTGAACTGGTGTTAGCGTCCCCACAGTCTCTCAGTGTGACAATGTGAAGCAAAGCAGCCGTTTCTCCTGTCTGTTTGCTTTCCAGTAAATATTTACCGTGGCTGCATGTACACCGGGTCAGCTGACGCCTGTCTGTCTGTGGATATTCAAGACACAAACACACTCCTTCTACGTAAACGTCTGATAGATTTCCATTATAATATTGTGTCAGGTCTCAATTGCCATCGGTCCACAGCAGAACGTGATCAGCTCTGAAGTGCAGCAGACGGCTGCCATCTCTGCTCTTAAAGGTTTCATGACTTCTTCGTGTCTGAGTAAAGTTTTAGAGACTATTTAGGCATAAAAGTCAACTTATGGTTTCTTAGTAATCAGAAATATTCCAGAATGCTGCTTCCTTTTTTTGGCTAATTGACAATACCACCTTTGTGTCATCTCTAAAAGTGATGAAAACCTCCAATGTAAAATTTGGATCCAGCGCTGAGTTGAATTGTTGACCAAAGACTCACTTTCTCAGCATCCTGCTCGAAGAGGCGCAGCTGGAAGCACTGGTCCAGTTTCAGCTTCCTGACATGCCACATCTGATGGAGGTGCTGCCTTGTGGAGTGGAGCTTATCGAGCAGATTGGCCACCTGCCAGAAGCAAACGCTACATTTCAGCAATTCTTTCCAAAATAAAAAATAAAAAATGGCTCCGATAGACGCAGTGGGTCGCGTTGATTCCAATATCTGTAAATGTGCAGGACGGCGGTTGGGAAAGTATGGAGGACAATTATATACTACAATCCTAAATTTGTGTATCCAGACCGTTTCATTACTCTGTTGACCCAAGACTGAAATCATGCAAGTTGTCGGACATGATGCATATTTTTATTCAGGCGTACAGGAGGTGTTAGATGTTAAGACGGGTTAATGGTGAATGGTGGTTTTTACCATTACTGTGTCATGACAAGGTTATTTCTAAAGTTTATGCTGCATCATCGTCCGAAACACCCAGGAAACCCAAAATAACCTTTAAGCACTGAAGAATAAATAAATTTGGCCATTTGGTTTCTAAGAAGGTATGTTGTTATGGAATACACTTTTCTGAAACAAAAATAGTTCTTTCAGCCGCGCCCACTAAAACAAGAGGACACCACCACATGTGGGTGAGGACAATGTGTCCATGCCAGTCCAGCCTTTCACTGTCTATGTCTGCAGACTGATCGTTTCCTAGGCAATAACACCTTTCTGACTGCAATATGCTGAATCGTTACCTGGCTGCTTACAGGTCATCTCTTCTTGGTGTGAGTATAATCGTCTATGGTTCCATTAGGGTTCATTCGTCTTTTCCATAAATGTAGCAATACCTTCTTTATTTCTATGCATCTTTTTCTATTCAGTGAGACTGGAATAAAAAAAAGCAATATACTTTATAATCAAGTGCTTAAAAGGTTTAAAAGAATTACCAAATTCATTATGATGTCATGCGTGCTAAATCCTTTGAGTTTACTTCTATTTTCTGCCTGGGTCATTTCTAAAAGTGTGGTTTGTTTCTTACCTCTAGTTTTATGAGTAAATGCAGATGAAGCTTAAACTGTAAGGCGGATATATACCCAGTTCAAGGGATCGTTCCTGCTGTCAGATTCTTACCTTGGGTACCAGACTCTGAAAGTCAGCAGAACCTGAGATGCAGTTCCTTCCAGAAAATCCATCACTGGATCGAATGCACTGAAGCAACCTTTGGCCTTCCCGGTCCAACTCCTCCACTGGAGCCTTTAGCACCTGAAACGGTATTAAGTAGGACTTTAAGGCAGGGCACGTTCATTTGTACAACATCTTTCAGCAACAGGCATTCAGAGATGCTTCACACGCTAAACCGGTGAAGCTTTAGCCTTGATTTAGAGGAGCTCTGTGTTTCGGTTGTTTGGCAGTTTTCTGGGAGTTTGTTCCAGATTAGTGGAGAATAAAACCTGAAGGCTGCTACTCCGTATTTGGTTCTGGTTCTGGGGGATGCAGAGCAGAGCAGAACCAGAGGACCTGAGAGGTCTGGACTGGAAGGTCTTTAATTTATGTTGTTTGTTACTAAGGCATTCAGTGATTTTTAAATCTGTTCTCTTACTTACAAGGAGCCTGTGTGAGGACACCTGAACTGGAGTGATGTGCTCTACACGACTGGGTGAGTTTGTCTAGATCTTGCTGAGACATTAGACCTTTGATCCTGGAAACGTTCTTCAGGTGATTGAACTGTCTGTAGGTTCAGGTCAGAGTTCATCACTACAGATTTCAGGCTGACCTATAGAGTCCAGCTGTAATAATTAAAGCTGTGTGCTGACACTCGATCGATCCTCTTTAGGTCCAAACATAACTTCAGTTTTCTTTCTGTTCAGCTGGAGAAGCAGGTCCCTCACTGATTTGGTCTACGCGTCTACAATGATGACATCATTGTAATGTACAGCTGTGTATCATCTGCGTAGTTATGGTAACTAATCATATAACTTGTAATCTGGGCTAGCAGGAGCATTGAGATAATAAATAAAATGGGGCCCCAAGATTGAACATTGTGGTGCTCCACATTTCTCAGATCCACTGAAAACTTTTCTATTGACATAAAAAAAAAAAAAAACTTTAGTTCTTTAGGTCAGACTAGAACCAGTCGGTTACTGGACCAGAGAGTGTGACCCAGCTCTCCAGTGGCTCCAGTAATATGTCATGGTCAACACTGAGCTCTAGTAGAACCAGCACTGTGGTTCTTTCACAGTCTGTGTTTACATGGATGACATTGAACACTTTGACGAGGGCAGCCTCGGTACTGCGGTAACCACGGAAACCCGACTGAAAGACATCAAAGCGGTTGGTTATCATTATGAAGCTATGTAACTGCTGAAACAGCTTTCTCAGTGATTTTGCTGATGAATGGGAGGTTGGAGATCGGCCTGTAATTCTGCAGCAGTGATTTGTTCAGATTGTTGCTTTTTATCAGTCGTTTGATAACTGCTGATTTTAAAGCCTGGGGGAAAACACCTGGAGAGAGCGATGAGTTTACTATTTGGATCAGATCAGTAGCAACGACAGGCAGAACTTTCTTTAAACTGTGGAGGTATCAGGGGGAAGAACTTACTTGGTGTGTTGAATTAAAAATTAATGTACTAGTATTTCCACTTTTAGGCAGATCAACTTTTGTACCTTTTTCTTCAGCTGTGTGTGCTCCTCTATTAACCGCCGGGATCCTTCTACATCTGCAGGAAAGTCTTTTATGGACAGAAGTTCCTGTACGAAAGAACATATCTTTGTCATTTAGTTAAAAAAAAGGCTTTTGATCACTTCACACCTGGATCTCTCAGCTATGTACCTGAAGATCCTCCAGTCTAGACAGCAGGTGAACAGCATTGGACATGAACTCCTCCAGAGACACCCTCAGCTCGATCCATTCCTCGTGGTTGTAGTCCAGAGAGCCTTCGAAGTCTTCGGTTAGCTGTGAGGGATCCACCAGTTTGGCCAGGCCTTCTACTGAAACCATACTGGTCTGCTTATACAGACCAGAAGACCAAAAAAAATAAAAAATTGGTCAATGAAACAGCAAAGTTTCCTTCCAGAAAAATATTGATACTGCACTGGGACTAATCACTTTACAAATGATTTCAGTAAAAACATGTAAAAGCTGGGTAAGATTTCCCAGTTCACAGTGGGGCAACTACTGTAAACATGCATATATATATATATCATCGCATGTCGATGATATATATATATATATATATATATATAAAGTTATAAAGTTTAAGGATGTAAAAAGTTGTGTAGATATGCACAGCAGCTCATTTATCCAACCTCAAAGGAGAACTTTGCACTCCCAAAGTTGGTCTTCTGTTTCTGCCAGAAGTTGTCTGGTTTGATGATGAGAGCCACGCAGATCTCGGCTGGGAAATACTCCTGCAGCGTCTTCAGCAGAGGCTTGATTAGCTCCCACTTTGATCCTCGCATGTCGATGATGACAGTGAATCCCCGTTTGCAGACATCCTCACTGATGGGAGAAACAGAGTGAGCATGCAGGTGGAGAGGAGACCACAGAGCTGGACATCAGAGAGCAGGAGAGGATACGCTGCAACAGCTACACGTCCAAAAGCCCCGCTGCTTCTCCCTTTCCTGCCATTACATCAGACTTCCTGGGAAGTTTAAGCACTGCGCTGCTCCTGAGAGATGCCATCTCAAAGGGCTCGACCAGAGCAGGACCTCCTTTTCTAGCTTTTTGAAGATGCTTTACGTTTCACCCAGGATGTTTCTTTAATTCTGATCACGGGCTGGAAATTCCAGTGAGAACTCCAGGCTTCGAAACCATTAATGGGACAATCGTAATAGGAGCACTCAGCACAGATGAGTCACTGGCAAACCTGTTACGTTTGGGCTCATTGTGACAAACACACATGAACACATTTCTGCCTGATAAAAACGTGCAGCAAGTCCAGAAACATATAAACCTTTTATTGCAGCAGCATAAACACACGATGGGATGGTTTAAAAAAATGCTACATTTAGTCTGATTAAATTTATTTAGTAGGATTAAATAAAATGCGAGGAGGGAATTGGTTGTAATAAAATCACTTGAGGCCCAATTATTTTCCTCCCCACTGTAAACAATTGCAGCCGTCTTGTTAAACCAGTAGGACAACACCTGGAGGAAAGTTTGACCAGTTGATCCCTCCTGATCCTGCATCCTCCCTGCTCTCCTCTCTTCAGCTCACTCCACGAGTGTTTAAAGGTCACGAGGACTGAGACACTGCTGAAGAAAGGTTGATTTCCGTCTCGGTCTGACTACTGACGGGTCATCATGTAATCGAAAGGTCCAGTGATAAGATAAGATACTGACAGAAGTCAGCAGATCCTAAAAAAAATAAATAAATAAAAATCTCTTGAGATCTCCAAGAGATCCACACTGCACTCCAACAAGCCTGCCTCAGCATTTAGAAGAGCAAGAGGCCCGCAGCATCACAGATCCTCTGGCATTCTGTCCAGAGAGCATCAGGCGCTCTTCCACATTCTTTGTTTTACACTAAACTTATCCAAAGGGTTTGTTGACAAAATATCTCACTTTTGGTCCGACTAAAATGCACTTAAAGTTTCAGAAGATTTCAAGTCTGGCCTATCAAAGTCACATTTCAGTAAAATGTCTATCTTTGGTTTTAGTTTCACAAGTGGCATTTAACCAAAAAAATGTTTCTATAATGCGCCTGTCTGTGATTAAAGGGAACAGACAAAAGCACATCATGCCAAAGAAAATTCAAATCAGCAAAACAAAAGCCTGCATTGACAGACAAACCATCTGAAAGCACAAAACGGCAGGTCCGACTGATGATTCACGCCAAGATGAATGAAATGCTTTTTCCAGTTTTAGGAGCACTTAAGCAGAGGCTTGGTGACGTAGTGGAGGACGGAAGAATAAAAACATTTCCAACATTTAAAGGTCACACTTGGGTTTCTGTAAAAACCCTTTTCTGCCCGTTCACCCTGTAGATGTTCATCTTCATACTACAAGTCACTTCTTCGTTCAACTTCTCACTGTAAATCATCAAAGTACTGTTTTCCTGCCTTTGCTCCAGTTTTAATTTCAGCTGAAGTAACGAAAACAAATAGCATCGCAGTAACATGTTTATGTGCAACGATGAGATTATATCACCTGTAGAGCTTTGAGAAGCTCTCATTTGCTTAAATGATTCAGTTTACCAAAGAAAAATACTTTTCTGCGGTTTTGCTGAGATCAAAATGTAACAGTCTCACCGATAAAACGATTGTTCAAAATAAAACAATGACTTTTTTTTTTTTCCACACAAAAACGATATAACTGGACCAGAAGGGAGAGCGGTGTGTGTTGCACAGCCTTGCTAAAAGCGAAACAGAGTTCTCTACTATGCTCCATGTCCGCTTTAAAGATGGTTCCCTGAGCACCACCTAACATTTTGGTGAAACACAAATTTCACAATGAAAATGACTTGTTAACCCAGATGTTTGCATACATTGCACAGAAAGTAACGTCACCAGTTTATATCTACTTGGTAAATCCAATCAAATAAAAATTCTTCAAATAACTCCAGTTCAAATGTTCACACACTTTTCCTTAATATTTGGTAGGAATATCTTTTAAACTTTCAAATGGCCACTCCAAACAATCGACTTTTTCATGTTTTGATCCACTTTGCAATTGATTGGCAGGTTTATTTCATATCAGCTTCTTTAAAAAAATATCCGGCTGCTAACTGAATGGAAACATGCGCCGACTTTAAATCCCAGGCAGTATTAATATTAATCTAACAGCAGCAAATATTTTTACCACTTTTCTCAGGAAGGCACAAACTCTTCCCTTCACCAGGGAAACAGCCGATGAGGTGAGCAGGCAAAGAGGGACTGTACTCGTTATTTTGTAAGTTTAAATATTCTGACTATTACATACAGAATGCTACATCTTTTCTCATTTTTTTTCTTTTTAAAGATTTTCTGCAGAGGTATGCAGGCACACCAGTGCCATAGATGACAGAGATCACCTTTCACCATGAGCAAGAATCTGCTGTCATCCTGCTCTCACAAGTGAAAAAGTGACCCAGTTCAGGTCCCACAGGGCTCGGCTCCAGACTCTCTTTGACCTGTTTCTGATCATTTTTTTTTTTTTTTTTTTTTTGCACCTTCCATTTCTCCCAAGTGCCCCCGGACCGGGCTGGAGCCACAGACTCAAACAGCGCTGCTTTCACAAAGATGCAAATCAAGCGCTGCTCCCCATCTGCTGCAGAGCTGGCCAAGGAAGGAGCACTTGATTCTACGGCCTGGACAGCCTTTAACACACTCCTCACCCAAACGTCTTCTTTCTAGGATCTGCCTGCCAGGTTTACGAAATGTCCAAGAGCAGAATACAAAAACACGGTGTGTGTGTGTGTGTATGTGTTTCCAGCAGGACTGTGGGTACCTGGGGACAGTAGACAGGTAGGTGACCAGCCGCCTCAGGTCCTCCTGCTTTATTCGGTCATGGTTGCTCCTGGCTGGAAATGTCAGAATTGGTCCTCCTCTTTTATCTCGCCCACCTGGAAAATTCAGCAACCAGCGATGTTTAGCATTTAGAAAGTATTTCAATCATTTTTTTTTTATATTTACCAAGTAAGCTTGCATTTGAATTAGTGCACCAATCTCCAATACTCTTTTCTTTTTTTTTTTTTGTCTGAAATGTTGCTAAATATAGCAAGAAAGTTGCCAGACCTGACCTGGTGGGGGGTCGGTCAGGCAACCCTCTCACTGCACAGCAGAAGAGGACAGTGGTTGATTTTTAGACCTTTTAGATCAGTGAGTAAGATCGGCTTCACATGTAAGAATCAGCCGTTCTCCCAAAACAAAGGAATCTGGTGGCGATAAATCGACTGACCATTTTATCTGTTGGCTGATTTATCAGGGCTCCCCTAATGGGAAATAATAAGGATCCTGGATCAGGTGCAGCCATGTTTATGCCTGTTCTTGCTCTGAACTGAAGAAGCGGCCTGAATGAGAGGAAACACGAGAATAAGTCCAGTCACCTCTGACTACATCACTACAGTCCATGCATGTTCTATGATTAAAACCCAGTGGTTTGGATTTCAAATGAGTGACAGTCCCAAACACTAGGTGGTGTACCAATCACTGAGTACTTTGATCTTCAAGGCCTGAGATGAGCAATGGAAGATTCTAGGGAGACAAATCCAAGAATGTATTTATATCAAGTTTACTGAGCTCTAAACTAGCTAGCAAAGATCATCCAGTTTAAGAAACACTTCAGCGTGTACCCAAGTACACAGTTTTATGATCACAACAGCTTCAGGGTTGTAAACACGATTTCATGATTAAGTCTTGGTCAGAGTGAAATGTATACATGTGCACAAAAAGTTAGATTCCTGAGGTTGTGCACTACTACTTCCTCGTGTTGCTTTCAGACAGCTACAGATGTTGTTTGCTTTACCTCCTAAATAAATCATGAGGTTTATCAATAGTACTTGCACGTGTTTTCGTAATTTGTTTCTTCTTCGTCTGACTTAATCCATTTTTTTTCTTTCAGTTTCACTACATGTCAGGGCTGAGAGGACAACACTGACATAAAACAGTATTGAAATCTAATAAAAGAAGCTAAAACTCTATATTCCAGTCCGGTTCAGGTAGTAGGTGTGATTTCAAGATGAGTCCCTTGAAATTTACAGCGACCTACCAGTGACAAAATCAGTGCCATTAGACTTCAAAAAAAAAAAAAAAAGTATCATTCCAGAGGTCAGGACTACTCCCTGGTTCATCCTGACGTTACAGTAACCAGGGCATGGTACCCCACTGACAGCTTTACAGTGTCCACTGGATTCTCCTCACAGTTGGGTCAGAAACTCAGCATGTTTTCTCCAAAACCATCCAAAACGTAAACTCTCTGAATCTTTGTGACAAACGATGTGTGCTGAGATGGCTTGCTCAGATTAACGTAAGAAACACAAACCACAGTGTTTGTCTAAGTGCTACTCAATCGTGAAAGAGAGAGAGAGAGAGAGAGAGAGAGAGAGAGAGGGAGGGAGGGAGGGGAAGTTGGAGGAGAAAATGTTGTAGTGATCCTTGAAAGAATCTTGATGACGAGTACTTGTTGGCATGCAGCCTCTGACATGCTCTCTCTCTCTCTCTCTCTCTCTCTCTCTCTCTCTCTCTTTCCCTCTCTGTCCTGCAGGCTCTCCACCACTTTCTCTTTTTGATTCAGACTTTTGTTCTGTGCATTACTACAACAAAAATGATCAGGACTCAAAGTACGACAGCTAATGCAATCCTTATAAATACATCTTGCGTTAAACTTGTACTGTGTGCTTTCAGCGATGTTGTAGTTATCATTACACGTGCCTATGTTGTCTATTGATGTGGCTTGTTATGTTTTCTTTTCTTCTATATTTCCATTAACAGTCACATATTCATCCTTTCAAGGACGGAGGCATTTTCCACCCCCCCCCCCCCACCAAACATTTTTGTTAATCACTCTGACCAGCAATAATCACACATTCAGCTCTTTCAACATCAGGCTTTCATGATTGCCGCAGAGACTCCCATTGTCCTTTGTCTAAATGAAACTCTCCATCTGTTTCCTCCCAAGACAAGAACGTGAACATCTTTGGGACATCCGGGGGCTTATTCTGTCATGACATCTTATTTGCTATGTGGAAATGTTTTATAGGGACTGAGACGGCCTGTGGACCGGGAGTGTCGCGGGTCTGCTTGTATTGGCATTCAGTGGGAGCAGCAGACAGACAGGAGGGAGATGAACCCATAAATAAAGGTGATGTTGTGGGGAGCCCGGGATGATGTTTCCTCACTTAGGAAGCGTGAATCTAACTCCGACGCTGAGAAATGTTTTCGCAGATACTCTATATCTAAGTGGAAGTCTACCTCTGATTACTCTTTGTAGAGTAACATCATTATGTGGACGTCCATGCTGGCTTATCCTCATAATTCAGATCATATCTCACATGTGGATAAGTGTAATGTCGAATGTTCCTCGCGGCCCTTGTTGGTCGACTTTCAGCACTGACAGACACTCACCCGACACGAAGGCGACTTTCTCCTTCAGCACAGGCAAAACATCAGACGCCTTTATGCCTTCAGTCCTGAGGGAGCCTGGAGAGACGAGAGAGAGAAACTCTCAGCATTAATCCCATTATCAGATCAACATTCCTGTGAGAGAGCAGACACACTTGGATTCAACTCTTGTAACTGTCACACACTGACAACTACTTTCTCAATAGAATATTGTTTTTGACGTGAATAAATATCATAATTTGAGTATAAATGCTGTATCCAGCCTTCCTACAAAATCAGGACAGAACAATTTGTTTCCATTCTTATTCCTTTGTTCTCCTTTGATTTTTTTTTTTTTTTTGCTCAGTTCATCTGGTCGCCCGTCTGTCATGTTATGAAATTTCTCTCTCTCTTGTTCTTTTCTTTGTGTCCATGCTCTCTCAACCTGCCTCCTCCTCCTCCTCTCAGATGAAAACAAGCCCAAATGTCCACAACCTTCTGCGTGTGTATGTACATGTGCGTGTGTGTGTGTGTGTACGTGTGTGCGTGCACGCGTACATGTGTGTGAGAGGGTGTCGTCGAGTGCGAGTGCATGGTGGTGCATGTGTGATGCAAGTCAAACACACATTCCAAACGGAGAACACCGAAGTCAGCAGAATGTGTCTCAGGACACAGAAACAGAGAGGAGGAGAGAGACAGTGGCTGTCTTCATGTTTCAGGACCATATTGTTATATCTGGTATACATTATATTAGCGTTTATAACCGGCAGGGATCAAAAGTAAGGCTGAGTTTTATAAATCACTGAGTTCAAAATATATTAGGATGCATGAATTTGACTAGTGATATGGTTTCTGGTGAGCAGGGTCCATTTCATTTATGATTCAGATTGTGAAAAGTGTTCCTTCATATTAACACATACAAAACACTAATAATCTTGTTTTTATTTATTTATTTATTTATTTTGTGCAGAACTTCTTCCATCTACAGAAGTTATACTTGCTACTGTCATTATAATAGGTTGAACCATTTTTCCAGGATGGACTAATGAGCCTCCATACGATTTCAAAAGCTTTAGAAACTAGAATTGGGTCTTTTAAGTTTAAATTCATTCATAAAATTACACTTGGAGGCTTCAGTATAGAGACAGACAGACCGAGGTTTGCACAGATGTGCTTAAGCTATTTGTATGATATAACTCCTTTGCTTTATCACAGATCCTTCCTCCCATCACTGCTAAAAGCACTTGGCACTAAAAGCAGACCCCATCCTGATGCTACCGCTAACCAGTTTGAATGCTAGTATAGTATTCTCACTTTGCTCTTTTTTGCTCTTTTTTTTTTAATTGAAAGCTGCAAATTTCAGTTGAGTTTAAATGCGACCGTTTTGGAGCGGGGCCTCCATTCTTGATCAAAATCATCTGAGTCCGTGATGATTTAAAACTGTCGACACAGGACACTGGCGCTCCAGAAGTTTCCGGTTCATGTGAGCCTGCAGCCGGCACGCTGTGGTCTGTTCCTAACGGATTTACTTCAACTGAGAGTGACCGTTTGGGATGGTTTTCCAGCCCAAAGTAGAGAAATAGCCAAGTAAGTTATGCCGAACACTGTGACATTACTATAGAAATGGATCAGAAAGACTTTTTTTTTTTTTTTCCAATTTGTGTGAATCTATATTTGTATCCATATTCTGTCAAACAAATAGGGACGATGGTGGCCACAGTGGTAGGTCGCCAGTTCCATCCCTGCTCATTGATTGGTCCAGGCTAAAACACTTCACCCACCTGATGGTGGTGGTCAGCAGGGCCCGGCAGGCGGTGCTGGTGCATGGCAGCCTCTCCTCTGTCAGTCTGCCCCAGAGCAGCTGTGGCTACTACTATCCAGTAGTTTGCCACCATAGTTGTGTGAATGTGAATGGATGAATGGCTGAATGTAGTGTGAAGCATTTGGGGTTCTCTGGACTTGATGCAAGTACAGACCGTTCACCAAATGTTCTGTATATTAAGAGAATTCCCCCATCTCTGGTCAACATGGGTTCATAGGCCTCAGTTTGCATAAAACTTTTTTTTTTTTTTAGAACATACAGCATTATAAGCTAAAACATCTGGGTGAATGAATTTGAATAACTGGAACTGTATGTGTTGTTTTGACCCTGTAGTTAAAAGGGATCATTTCAATCAATATAAACTTGTGCACCAAATTTTTGTTCTCAAGAATCTTAGTAGCTCCATGCTAAATTATCATTCCAGCTGAACACATAATTAGCTGTTATACAGAAGAATATGACCAGTATGGACCCACATAACAGACCTCCAGGGTGCAGACTGGGCTGACAGCTGAACAACATACGCTCTGTCACAATCAAAGCAGGATAAGTATCACTGCAAAACACGTCGGGCCCTTAAACTAAAGGAGCAAAGTAAAGCAAAAAGGGTCCACTGTGTGTGTCCATGCATGTGTGTCTGGGCATGTGTAAACAGCTTCTGTCATTTGCACACACACATGCATTCTTACAAACAGAGAAGCATACAGGAAGCTGTTAGTCACTTTTCTGGGCTAACACTCACATTTCAGGTTTCTTTTGAACTGTGATAACGACTCGGCGTTGAAAGGTTGGCTTGACGAGCTTCACAAACACACAGATCTCTGAAACCTAGAGTGTAGATATGAAATACATCTGATCATGAGATAAGAAAAGAGACTTCTCATTTCACCTGGTTATTTCAGGAGTAACCCCCCAGCTGCCATTCAAAGCTGAGAGCCAGCAGAGCAGGATGACATGAATTCCCCACCGTGATATTAAAAATATGATTCATGTGGAATCCAGTCACCATGTGACCAAATAAGTTTAAAAAATTAAAAAAAAATTGCTTTCCTATTGTTCTGCTAGTGAAACAGATGTCAGAGGCAGAGGAAAGACACATTAAATCAAAGACAAAAACATGCCAAGAGCTGCTTGTAGATTTAAGCTCCAGCCAGTAAAGCTGATATATCGTCTCAGTCTTACTTCATCATGTCATCCATATAGCACCTCCGTGGACTGGGATCACTTTGACCCAGTGAAATGGAAAAAGGCTTCCATATCTGTTAATAGACTGAAAAAAAAGCATCTCTGCTTTAATAATACACTTAATCATACTTATGCACTGAGTTAAGAGTCAGCCATTTAATAACAAAAGGTCAGGAGGAACCAGAACATGTTTACGATCTGTCAAAGCAAATGGAGGGATTCCAAGGACGGGGATTCTACAGCAGTTCTAGGCGCTGGCTGAGACGGATTAGTTTACTTTTCCTCCTTTTCCTTCAGCTTTGTAAGCCATCTTTAGTAATAATAAAGATGGAATTGTTACTGGCTTCACTGGTTGGCTGCGTAGCGTAGTATTTTTGTGATTCGCCTTCCAGTTTTAAAATTAAATCACCGTTAAAACCGCATTAGGTGACCCTGCAATAAAAACTCCAGTAGTTTGTGCATCCAGGTGCATTGCCATGGATACAAGCAGAAGGCAGTGAAAGTAAGGAGTCGATGTTTCAACCAACGGTTAAACGAAGATGTATGTTGGACTTGAAGCAACAGAGGCCTCACAGCACGATGAAGGAGACAAAACAAACAGCTGTTTCCTTCAGCCAGCTGTCGCTCCTTAGCTGCTAATACTAAGGAAGGTCAGTTTTATCTGGATGTTTTGCGCTGATCAGAACACTCATGTATGTCTGTTACTGGTTAGCATATAAAGATAGTCCTGTACAAACATGGGCTGAGCCTGAGAACACCTTCCCTGCTGTTAGGTACGGGGGTGGCTGCATCATGCTGTAAGTTTGATACATGTGGGGACTGGTTCACTTCGCAGAAAAGAAGTCGTCTCATGAAGATGGTCTCATGAAGAAAGAACATTACGTGGAAACTCCTCATTTGAAGTCATCAGCCATGACGTTAAGGTAGACAATGACCCGATAAGCCAAAGGTCACCAGGTGGCTTAAGGACAACAAAGTCAATGTTTCTGAGCAGCCATAGAAAAGCCCCGATTGGAGTCTGGTAGAGAAATAGTGCGCAGAGCTACAACGGTGTGTGTGAGCAAGTTGGGCTACAAACTGACCAGTTAACCACATTAGTTCTGTCAGGAGGAATGGGCCAAAATTCAAGAACAGTTGTGAAAAGCTTGTGGAGGGTAACTTTAAACATTTGACCAAATTTATGTTGTTAAAAAGGTAATTCTACCAAATACTATGAATTTTTTCCTCCTGTAAACTTTTGACACTGAAGTTTTGACCAGTCAAATTTATTAAAACTTGACTGACCTAAAACAGAAAAACTTTAGTCTCATTTAAAGATAGACAATAAAAAAAGTCAGTTTTTTGTTGTTTTTTTATTGAATGTATGTGAATATCTGGTTTTAGCTGTTGTGAATATTGTTCAAGTGAATTGAGAAGAACATAAGTTAACTAACATAACATGAAATTCTGAAGTTCTGGGCCCTTCAGCTTCTACTCCAGTGTAGGTACAGTTTTTCTGCTGGCTGTTCTGTCTAATTGAGATAGGAGCAAATATGTAAATGCTTCCAACTGACAGTGCAGGCACCTGCAGAAAGGATTGCACACACACACACATAAACACAGATAATATTTACAGGAACTTAATGTGGGAATGCAAATAAGTATAATGTGGGCTGGACTGTGTGTAAACCAGAACAAGTCTTGTTGTCATGTACTGTATGTGGATGATGGATGAACAGGCCACTGAATGAAGTGTTCAGAGAATGCTAATGCTTTTTACCTCCCTTCAAAAAAAAAAAAAAAATAAAATAAAAACATGTACAAACCAGAATCATCAAAACTTTATGGTTTCATGTTGGTTTCATACATTATCCTCACAATGTATGAACTTCTTTCAGAGAAAACGACGCATTAGCTTCACGTCTATATGAGCGACACTTATAGAGAGAAAAACCTCTAATTTGTGCAGCTTACCCACTGTATGCTACTATAATCAATATTTGAAAAAAAAGAGAAAGAAATCTGGATATTAAACATTTCAGTTAAGTTCTATAACAACAGATCCACTCAGCCATAAAAACTGAAAACTTCCCCTGCTCAGCAACAGGTTACT